ACAACACTACATGTCAACATCTCAGAGTAGTTTGAGGACTAAGCACCCAAATAGGGCCATTCATATTCTTTCCACACTATGTGGTAATCGAGATGAAAATAGAGATCTCATATTCCTTGATATTTGGAAGACCACTTCTGAACACTTCCGGTGTCATGATCAATGCATCAAAAAGAGAGATCACACTACAAGTAGGAGAGGTCATGCATAGAGTAGTGGGTTATATTGAAGACAAAGAGGAGAAGAAGCCCATCAATGATGATGATTTCAAGGAGAATGTAGAGATGGAGTCGGAGATAGAGATCAAATTCCAAAAAAGATCTCTATATGAGGATTCCTTACATGCAACATATCATAACTACGATGAAGACCTGAAATAGGGAGACAAGTTGAAAGAAGCTCCACCAACTCTGGATTTGAAGCTAGCACAAATGACACTCAAGATAGCCAGTACAAGGTCAAAGACGTTGCTAGAAAAGATCGAGGAGCTGGAGTATGAAGCATTAGAGGAATTTCAAGAGTTCATATGCCAATGTGGATTCATTCCACACCCCATGGAGCCAACAATGATAAATACGACAGATGGGCAGATGAAGGAACCTCGAAACTCGATTGCCATCCGATGAGGGCATGATCTTCAATTGGAAGTAACGTCTATCCCTTTGTTTTTACTACTTTGGATCTAGGATGTGAAGCACTTGATCCCTTCTTTGTTTGATTTAGATTTCCCCTAAACAAGATAAGTGCTAGTTTCCTAAGCCTCCTATGTCACAATTTGAATGCCAAATTGAGTAAATTGTTTCAACCTTTTCCCTAGCTCACCTTATTTTAGTCCCTTGAGGACAATGTCCATTTAAAGTGGGATGGAATTGGGTGTTACATGTTACTTGGATATGCTTGATACATGAATTATTTTTAGTCATTCAATTTTGAGTAAAATTATGATCCATTAGAATTTTTTTTGAAATTACTAAAGATAGTTTCTATCTAATGACCTTTAGTCATCCCCTACAAGATTTTCACTACTCATCTAACTTTGAGTCAATGAGTATGTGAAAGACCACTGGACCTGGGCAGGATAGTGTAGTGACTATGAAGGATGTGATAGTCAATGGGATGTAATGATCATTTTATGTGCTTGGATGTAATGATGTTTGGTTCATTCAAGGATTTATGATTATGCAAAAGAGTCTCCCATTTTCAAAAGTTTTTCAAAGAGTGAACTGTATCTTTAGAAAAATGAAAAAATCTACCTATACAAACATGTTGGTGTCATTCAAAATTTTTCATGCTATGTTGAGAAATAAAGTGTGGTGTAAGCCCAACGTGTGAGCCATCTTTTCATTGAACTTAAATAAGGTTTTGGAAGAGGTACTAGTTGAGCTTTAGTGGGGAAGTCCTACAAGATGATGCTAGTTCCTCTCTAATACAAGTAAAATCTCCATCAGCTGAATTGATTGCCAAATTGAGGATGTGTTTTTAAGGGCACTGATAAAGCTTCCGACACCCCTTAGTTTTATTGAATCCACACATGTTGAGGTATTGGGACTTTTAAGTTCTTGCTCAATCAATGACGGTAAAGCTATAAATAGCTCTCCACTCAAGAAAAATAAAATAGTTGTTTGAAGGAAAAGAAAAATCGAAGATAATTAAAAGAGTTTGTGAAGATAAAAGTGCTTAACGGGCATGTCAAGTTGATGGTATAAGCATTCCAAAGTTCAAAATTTGTTTATCAAAAGTTTCGTCCTTGTGTTTTGAGACTCTAATGCATGATCGGCTGTTTATGCTTTGATTGGATTGCATGATGCTCTTACATATTGATGTCGTTAGGATTCTCTCGTGGTATTGTTGACCTTGTAAGTTAGTTATTATCCACTATGCAAGATCAGAATTAAGTGATGGTTCATTAGCTTTCATTGAGTTGTATGATAGTGAGTAGTGTTTGTTTGGGGACAAGCAAACTTAAGTGTGGGGTATTTATGATAACACTCTATTTATAGTGTTTATCACTTTCATTCTTGATACATTTCCCCTTATATTAATGCATCTTTAGTGGTCATTTGGATGCAGGTTTTGGGTGTGGGATTTGGGAACAATCCTACATAGTGTGGGATTTTAATTAAAATCACTCGTTTGGAAAGCAATTATATGATAAGAGATTTTAAATATTAGAGATTTCAGAAACCCACAATTGTGGGATTATGAAATAGCTGATGGTGATCAGCTATTTTAAAATCCCACACAAATTCCACAAATTAAAAACCTGGGTTTTTAAACCAGTGATTTGAGCCAAAATCCCACAAATTAAAAACCTTGATCCAAATGACCCCTTAGTGATTTTGACTATATTTCATATCGAATTTATAACGATTTGATTTATGAGCTTATGATCAACCTTGAGTGTGTTTTTGTACTACGTGATGCTTTTTTCTGCTTTTCAAGGAGATAAACCACTCAAGACAAATTGGATCATTAAAGGAGCCAATGGATAAGAAGGAGCATGAGAATACAAGCTCATGAGCTCAAACATAGATGAATACGGACATCAGAGGCTGACTTTGTGACCAAAATAAGCAGATCTAGTAGTGCAGGAGGCCCATCTTCGACCAAGGTCCAACCAGAGCTATACAAGTCAAGACGCGCCCAAATCTGAAGAAGAAGAAGAAGGTGCTTTTGGGCCAAGCAATCCAACCCAATTGAAGAAGGGAGGCGATTCCAACCGCTGCACCCTCGTGGCTAAAATCCTAATTCTGTAGAAGACTTCCTGATGAAGCTACTTCGCCCTCAAGTCGAAGGAATTCGAGTTCAAGTTGGATAGGGAAGGGTTTGTCTAACTTTCAGAGGAAAAAGACTAGAAAACCCCTCATGTAACAATAATAAATAGGAGATTAGGCTATATCTTAAAATAAAAAAACACTTACCAGCACTTTGCCCCACTGGGATCTAGTACCAATCCATATAAGGAAGAGAATTGCTGTTGAGATTTAGAGGAGAATCATTCACCTACGAAGATGTTGTTCCACTCTTCTTTGTGTTGCTAGTCGATTTGTTTAGAGATGTTTCTTTGTTTGCATGACTGTCTAGAAGATACTACTTAAACATTACTTTCCCTTGAATTGCTTTTTTTGTTGCTTTGTGTACATAGTAGTTTAGCATTTCGAGTAGAGGGCACCTCAACCCACCTAGCTTTACTTACTTGCATAGCATATTCGAATTCGATTGATTAGGTTTGAGTAGTTACTATTAAAAGACCCTATGTATACAACCCTAGTTACATCTAGGATATTTATCACTTGTATGTAAACTATGCATCAATGTCGCATATCGTATGGTCAATGGCCTTCTTTAGGAGCATAGAAGCCCGATGATTACCCCAACTTCACATCTACGAATGCACCTTGTTTTCATGAAGAACAATGGAAAAAGAAACCAAGTCCACCCGGATTTGGCAATCAGCCTCAATACAAGGCACAAGGAGGAGTTGTCTCCAATCAGCAACCCAACATATTCGAGAAGGTAGATGCAAGAGTGATAGGATTGCAAACGAGTTACAAGAACATAAAAAGACAACTTTCACTCCTTATTGATGCCCAACCTCAAAAGCCCCAAGACAAGCTCCCAATAAATACAGAGAACAATCCAAAGAAGGAGGAAGTCAAAGTCATCTCAACAATGATGGGAGCAACCAAAAGTTTCCTAATCATGTAAAGGGAAGAAGAGAAGAAAGGAGATGAGTATCCATCTCTCTTTAGAAATCCTATAGAAGCTTTTGGAGGAGCAGAAGTGACATGCCAATATCGGAGAAGATGATTTGCATGAAAGATCTAAAAGGAAAGCTCGAGATTTTCATGGAAGAAGATGACAGGGCTGAAGATAAGGTGACCACAATCAAGAAAACCACTTGGGGTTACAAAGAATTCGTCCTAGTCAATGAAATAAAGGAGGATCCCAGACATTGCATCATCAAATGTCTTCTGGATTATCATCACGTGGAAAAAGGTCTAGTTGACCTTTGTTCAAATGTCAACATACTACCATTGTATAAATATGAAGAGATGGAACTATAGCTAACATGGAGTATGTCTAACGTAGAGATCATGCTAGCCAACAACACACATTACAGAGGTTTTGGAATTGTTTGAGGTTTAAGCATCCAAGCTGGCCCATCCAATTTGCTTCCTCACTACCTCGTGTCTGACATGGAGATAAGAAAACAATAATCAATCCTCTTCGGAAGACCATTTCTGACCACTGTTGAAGCAAAAATTTCTACCCACTATTGAAAAACAAAAACATATAAGAAAGGACTATATAAGAAAATGAAGCACACCACTTGGCGAACACGTAAAAAGTGTTTACTAGAGGCATACACTTGTTAAACTACACCATTAGTGTCACTAATTTCGTTGCAATAGAGTACTTGGTAAGGTTGTCAAATCGTTTTATACCATTGTGTATGATTAATAAGTAGTATGATCTGATCAGAGTATAATTGTTTATGCATTTTTAACATAAAAAGTACCAAAATTGTCACACTGGGGTTATATTACGAGAGCACTTCTACTATACTATATAGCATTGGTGCTTTAATGTACAACTCAAAGTTGTACCATAACATTAAATGTATAAGTTTAGGTTGTACCATAAAGCAATTTGTACCATTATATTATGGTACAACTTTACAATTTAAAGTTGTACCATCACATAAAGGTACAAGTTCAAGTTGTACCATAAAAGAATTTGTACAAAAAGTATAGGTACAATCTGAAATTGTACCATAACGTAAATGTACAATTTTAAGTTGTACCATAAAGGCAAAAACCTATAGCACCAATACTATATAGTATTGTAAAATTTCTCATATTACGAACTAATTCCCCATATTTGGATGAATTGTCAATAGTGAAAATCAGGGAGCTAAATTGAACTTTGGCCAAAGAATCCTACTAGAGAAACAGAAGGCCCTACAAAAGTGGCCCATACTAATACATACGGTCTCAAGTCTTTTTCCTTCTGGAGTCATCTGAACCTTTTCTTTCATTCTTTTACCTTGTTCTTTCTTTATTAGGGTTAGGGTTTTTAGCTTCTCCTGCTACTCCCCTTGCTTATCCCTCCCTCGTTGTATTCTCAGGCCAAGCGCCAAGGTCTTTCCTTTTCCCCATCTGGGTCATTGGAGCATTGGGAATTTTGTCGTTCTTTCAATTGTTACTTCATCGCTTTTTGAGCTTTCTTCTGTTTTTGGATCTGAATCTGTTGCGGACCGTCAATGGAAGCCAGAAAGAGAGGGAGGCCTGAAGCCGGCGGCAACGCTAATGGTGGATTCAAGAAATCTAGACAAGGTCAGTCTTCCTATCTCTTCGGTGATTTTCCTTCTCTTAGTTGGTTGACGCTGTGAAGCTCCGGTTAGGTTGGAGCTTATTTTGGGTGTCTGGTGAATTGTAATTACAGCAGATAGTTATGCTTGTTAATTTCTTTTCAGTTTGTTTCTGCAATTTTTTCGTGCGACGAACTGAACTTTGTATAGAGTTTGTGGTTATTATTGCAGTAGTATATCTGTTTTGAGCTTAGGGAAGTAATCTGCTTGTTTTGAATCATTGGTTACGATAAAGAAACGGTAGAAACAGAGATAATTTGCAGCTTTCAATTTCATGAAGCATACAATTCTGCAACTAAACTCAAGTTGCTGGACTGATTGATTAATTCGAGTGAGCAATAGGATCGTATAGTCACTCTCAACTTTGTTGGGGAGTTATCGTCTCTTTAGTCTTTATGTTAGTGGGAGAGTGCTTGGAATGTTGAACTTATTGTGCAAGAATGAAGTTGATAGTTCTAGAACTCTGCTGAGTTGAACTACAATATCGTCTAGTTGAGATTAAAAAATCATCCAGAACTTCAACTGAGATACGCAATCAATGTGTGTTATCAGAAATGGACTCGTTATCAACCGGTGTAGGAAGCAAATCGAAGCCATGCACCAAGTTTTTCAGGTTCTAATCTCTCACCTAAATAATCATCTCAGATTGCACATTGTTGTATCACCAGTTAGTACAAACTTTAAATTTTACTATAATTATGACTTGAGTCTAGGTTTCTGCTTCTCTAATGAAATCGCATTATACACTTACAGGTACAAATTTGTAACTCTGTCATCATCAAGTCAAGTTAACTAATTGAATTAGTTGGTGCTGTTTACCTGGATTATTATATCCCCAGGATATAGTTGATCACTAAGGAAGGCTAGGAAGCTATTTCTATTCTTGATTCAAACTTTATTTGTGGCCAAAGGATGTCTTCAGCTTTTGCGATAATATCATAAAGATGGTTTTAATTGTAAATGCTTCAAGTTTAAGTGCATAAAGCACACTATTGAATGCAGACTACTGGTAAGCTAAAAATTCAGCAATATCTTAGGTAAGATGGATTGCATTGGATATATAAAATACAAGGTGTCTCTCCAGAAACTGTGGTTTTGCTGGTTTAGCAGTAATCCGTTGTTTTGTGATCTTAAGAAACTAAATGTTTGTCTCACCCTTCTATCAAGTAAGCATTTATTGTATCGAGGACGCAGTCCAGTATGTTGCTTTGGTATTTCAATTCAAGTCTTACAAGTCTAAACCTTGCATGCTAATTGATTCCTGACCACTAAGACTTTTATAGTACACTTCTTACCTCTTTACTTCTGTGTTTAGCTGATTTGGCCACTTGTATACTTCTGTTGCAGTACTAACGGGTGTCCATTTGGTGAGAGCTGCCACTTCTTGCACTATGTTCCGGGTGGTTACAATGCAGTCTCCCAAATAATGAACCGATCCTCCGCCCCTCCCATGTCGAGGAATGTCCCTACCCCACCACCTATGTCCTATGGCAACACACCGCCTGCTCCTCCCTATGGCTCTTCTTCCTCCCCTCCAATTAAAAACCGTTTGTGTAACAAATACATCAGTGCAGAAGGATGTAAATATGGTGACAAATGCCATTTTGCACATGGTGAGTGGGAGCTTGGAAGGCCAGTTGCTCCATCTCATGATGATCCTCGGATGATGGGCGGGCCTATGCCTCCAATGCCGGGGCGTATGGGAGGGATGCGAATGGACCCACCACACCAACCAGGCCCGGTTCCCGGGTTTGGTGATACAACAACTACCAAAGTCAGTGTGGATTCTTCCCTTGCAGGAGCCATTATCGGGAAAGGTGGCGTGAATTCCAAGCAGATATGTCGGCAGACAGGGGTGAAGCTTTCGATCAGGGACCACGAGACAGACCCCAACTTGAGGAACATTGAGCTTGAAGGGACCCTTGAGCAGGTTGGCAGAGCTAGCGCAATGGTGAGAGAGCTAATCGGGAACGTTGGTCATGGAGGTGGACATGGAAGAGGAGGCTCAGGAGCTTCTGGGGAGAAGCAGCATCCTGGCAGCAATTATAAGACGAAGATATGTGATAATTTTAACAAAGGGACTTGCAGTTTTGGTCAGAGATGTCACTTTGCTCATGGTGCTGCTGAGTTGCGGAACTCGGGTGCAGGAGGTATGTGAAAATGCCAGTGGTTGTTGTCGACCTTTTTTAGCATATAGCTAGGTTAGCTTGGCTGGCTGAGGTTGTGTGAAAGAGAACCAGACATGGGTTTATTAGGTAGCTCTGCTTTTTACTGTGTCAGGGGGATACCATTCGTTAGTGGAAGAGACATGGTTGTTCATACCAGCATTCTTTTTACCGTTTTTGTCTTCTCATGTTTAAGCTAGTACGTCGCATCGTTTAGTGAACTTCCTCATGTGATTTCTGGTCGAATTTGTTTTCATTTTCGACCTTTTGACAGATGAACCATCTCATGTAGTAATAAAGATGCAAACTATCGGGTTACACATGTTGTGGAGATGACAATAAGATAACACAGATTCCGGTTGGCAATAATAAATAGAGCTAGTACCAGAATACGCCTTTACTCTGCTCACCAAGGTTGTACCCTATTTAGCTTGCGAGTTGAGGGATACTTGTCCGACTGTTTTAATTTGGTTTAACATATATATGTGAAAAAAAGGTATGCATTCGGTGACATGCAAGTCACCCTTAGAGAAAACGGTCGATCTTTTTCAGTTTGTGTCACCATAACTTAGAGAAAACGGTCGATCTCTTCTAGTTTGTGGCCGACCACTCTCAACGAAAATGGTCGACTTCTTCTATCAAGTGGTCGATCGTTTCCGAAAATAGGTCGACCTGAAGACACACTTACTTTCAAGTGGTCGACCTTTTCCATCAAATGGTCAACCACTTTTCAAGAAAATGGTTTATCAATTCCACCAAGTGGTCCACCACTTGAGCCAATTGTTCTAGCGCTAACGAAAATGGGTCGACCTGAAGACACACTTACCTTCAAGTGGTCGACCTATTCCAAGAAAATTGTCTACCACTTCCAGCAAGTGATCTACCACTTAAGGCAATCGGTCACAAGACAATGACAGGACAAAAAAACAAGCAAACTTAGAATTTGAAGAAAAAATGAAAGTCCCTATAAAGTAAGTCAAATATAAGAAATAAATAAGCATAACATTTTCCAAATCGACGGGAGAACAATCACTCAAAAAACTTGTAATCTATGCTTGCATCCTTTGTACTAATTTTAAAGCTCTTACTAGCAAGCATGTCTATTATTATTGGACAATAATTATTTATGATTATATCACTAGCAATGGTTCATCGGGTAGACCGGTTATTGAAAGCGGTGGACCACTTGGTGAAAGAGGTAGACCACTCGATGCAAGTGGTAGACCGTTTTCTTGTAAAGTGGTCGACCTTTGAGTGGAAGAGGTTGATCGTTTGTTGAACATATCAAAATGGAAAATAGTACATATGGTCGATCATTCCAGCAAAGAGGTCGACCATTTTGTCCAAATAGGTCGACCATAACAGTGAAGAGGTCGACTGTTTTGTCCAAGTCATGGTAACTTGCAAGTCACTATAGCAAAGTCCAAAAAGTTATTATATTGTTCATACATTTATAAATTATATCAAATCTCATATAAGTAATAACATATAACATTATATCAAAATAGCAGGTCGTATTTGGATCAAACATTTAGTAAAAATTCGCACACACTTACGTAACATCAATATTTAAATGTTCAACTTAAAATTCTAAAAATAGGGTTAGTGAACATGAACTAATACGCATTTTTCAAACTAAAGGGAAAACTACGTCGCGTGACCTGCAACCCGATACTCTTGTAGTAGGTCGACTGTGGATGTGTATGGTCCATTTTTCTCATCGGGTCAGAATCAAAATGAGCCAACCTGTGGGTCGACCCACGGTTGACAACCTTGCTGCCCACCTTCGTCCGGTTCAATATAAAGTATAAACACACATTGTAACCTCATCAAACTAATAGTCTAATAGTATCTTCTAGTGTTGGCTTAATCGCCATGGTAGCCTCCATCGCATGGTATAGCGGCGTCAGTGGTGTAGCCAGAATTTTATATAAGGTGGGCCTAAATTATTTTTTAAATATTGAAAGAAATTTTAAATCATTGTCATACCCAGTAATGTGTTTTCATATTTTTACGAACTTGCATTCATATGATATCGATCTCAATATATCCTATAAATAATCATTCGTGATTTTGTCACCCATTTAATACCAAAAAATGTTTTCTCGTGGCTCATTGCAAATGTCATTTCAACACTTGCAAAGGAGCCTTAGTTAGCAACAATGATAAGTAAGTTCTTTCAATGACCATGATTCACATCAAATTCTATATAGTTTTAAATAACATCTAGCATAGTTTCACATCAAAATATACCTACAATAATTTAGTTGACGTTCAAAACCTGATATATTATTTTTCAGAGAATTCATTATTAGGATAAAAAGTATCTAGTGAGTTTCAACAAAAGGAGTTTTGGTGATGGATGATGAATATATTAAAAATTAGAGGCTTGGAGGATGAAGTTATATTTTGTACTAATATTATTTATGTAGAAACTAGAATGAATTATATATATAATGTGATAGCTAAATTCATAATTTGATTATTGTTTGATGGTAGATATATTGACGAATTTTAGGTAAAAATTCTCACGGACATGTAACTATTGTATTTACACGTACTTATTATCTCCCGAGCCAAGATGGATCCCGTGATCCACCTTGGTATGCACTAGCTTTGCCACTGAGCGGCGTAGTCGAGAACAAATGGCGGAGAATAGGGGCGAGAAACGATTGATAAGGACTAATGATGCCATTCACCACGGGCAAGGCATTCCATAGATGCACAAAACCCAAGCTAAACCCTTAGCGAGGGCAAGTCTGTAGAGTCCAACGCAGACAGTGAGGGCTGAGGATGCCATCATCCGAGAGGTAATATCGTATGTATGAGGAATTTTAGTGTGCTTTAATGCACCCATGCTATAAAAACAAAAACAAAAAGGTTACCTGTTGGGGAGGTAAATCCACTAAGTGACCGGTCTCACATCATTAATGGCAATCTTATGAATAATGAATCAATATATAAAAGTGCATGTACAAATTATAGTTGTACCATATTATACAGGTTCATGTTTGTGTTGTACCATTGATGAATTTGTTCCAAAAGTGTAGGTACAACTCCAAGTTGTACATAGCGTGTAGGTCTAATTTTAGGTTATACCATAAAGAGATTTTTTAAAAGTGTAGGTAGAACATCAAGTTTTACCATAGCGTGAAGGTACAAGTTTGAGGCTTAGGATAGGGTGAGTAACCCTTTGTTACTCACCCGTGAGTAACCACCTTAGGACCGTAGATCTGGGCCGGGCTGATCGTGTGGCTGTAGTTGATTTTTTGAATTAATGACTTCCCCCTTTTGTCCGTTGCGAATCTTTCTGTGCGCGGGTTGGATTCGGTTTTTGGAGAGAGAAACTACGAGCAGCAGCTGAGAAACAAGGACGGCGATTCTCCATAATTGATCGACGGCGATAGAAACTGCGAGCAGCAGCTTTGAATCGAGCTTTCTGATTCTCCATAATTGATCGACGTGTGCGCGAGTTGGATTCGGTTTTTGGAGAGAGAAACTGCGAGCAGCCGCTGAGAAACAGGGGATGACGAATCTTTTCTGATTCTCCATAATTGATCGACGACGAGGTTAGATATTAGTTTTTTTTATTCTTCCTGTTTAGCTAATCGAGTTTTCTGTTGATCTCTGGTTTCGTTGGAGGTTTTTCATTGCTGCTAGTCGAGCTTGTTCATGTTTAGCTAATCGAGCTTGTTCATGTGTTATGTTCTTTGTGTTTTGGTGTTTTTGCAGTATTCTGGTGAGATGAGTTATGTAAATTGTGGCGATGTTGTTCCAATTGATAGATCTGGTTCTTCAACCAGCGTTGTAGGATCTGGTTCTTCATCTAGTGCTGTTGGAATTGCTTCTTAATCTATCGATCTTGGATTTGATCATTCAGCTAACTCTGGTGAATCAGGAGGTAATATATACAAATTTGTTTGTTTATTGAAGTTTGAATGTGTTAGATACCATGGTGGTAATTACTGGTATACGATGAGAGGTGATACTATAGTGTTGTGTTGTGATGTTATTGTGCTCTGTATTTAAGTTTTACCATACCATACCATGGTGGTAATTACTTGTACCATGTTTGGAATCATTGGTATAGTGTCGTAATTTGATTTTACCATGCCTTATCATGTGGTATAGTGTGGTAGTTTCAAGTGAAAGGTGGGTTATGTGTGGTAATTGATTTTACAGTGCATTACCATGTGGTAAAATGTGGTAATTAGGAAGTTAAATGTGAGGGTTCTGTGTGATAATTGATTTTACCATGCCATACCATATGGTATAGTGTGGTAATTTGATTTTACCATGCCATACCATGTGGTATAGTGTAGTAGTTTGATTTTACCATGCCATACCATATGGTATAGTGTGGTAATTTGATTTTACCATGCCATACCATGTGGTATAGTGTGGTAGTTTGATTTTACCATGCCATACCATATGGTATAGTGTGGTAATTTGATTTTACCATGCCATACCATGTGGTATAGTGTGGTAGTTTGATTTTACCATGTCATACCATGGTGGTAACTCTTGTATCATGGCTGTAATTATTGGTATACATTGAGATTTCATACTGTTGTGGTGTGGAATCCATTTTACCATATCATACCATGGTGGTATTATATTTGTACATATTTAATATGTTGCTTCATAATGTTTGTAGGTTTCAATGGTATAGATCCTACTGTTCGTGATTCTTGGAAGGACTTAGAGTTCAATACACTAGATGATGCATATAATTTTTATGTTGATTATGGGAATCATGAAGGTTTTGGTGTGAGGATATATAACCAATCAGCGTGTCCGAAACTCAATGGTGGTTTTTCAGCTGTATATTATATCAAGTATTGTTGCAATAAGGAAGGTTGGAAAAGAGGTAGCGAGAATAACCCTGATAATGCAGGTGTTGTTGATACGACGGTTCATGTTCGTAATGTTCCAGAACTCAGGGGGGATGTAATGGTGCTTATATACGACTGAGGTGGTTTAAAGAGTTTAAATTCTACAAGATTTATCGTTGGTATAATGTGCACAACCATGACATGATTCCTGAGTCTCTGCGTCACTATGTGAGATCCAGCAGACGAATGGCTCCTGTGTATAAGATGTTGGCAGAGGTGAATGATGCTGCTGGTATTGGAGTGACTTCTTCGTATAATGCAATTAGTAGGGCTAGTGGTGGTCGGAAGTTTGTTGGGTTCACAAAGAATGATTTGAAGAACCATCTGCGAACAGTGAGGACATTATCAATGGAGTATAGTGATGCGACTGCATTGCTTGAACACTTTAGACGTCAAGCACAGCTGGATCATGGGTTCTTTCATGAGGTGGAGGTTGATGTTGAAGAGAACATTGCTAGTATTTTTTGGGCAGATGGGAAGATGAGGATGGATTATCATTATTTTGGTGATTC